CGCATAGTGCTCAGGGGTGTGTGGGTCAGGTGGGTTAGACAAGGGAAATATAGGGGTAGGGGAATGGGTGGGATGCTCTTTGGAGGGGCAGTGTGGACTTGTTGGACGAAGGGCCTGTTTCCACACTGTAGGGATTCTATGATTCTATGATATGTTGTTCTATCTCCGGTCTCACTATTTGGGGGTCTGTAGTATATTCCTAGAAACATCAACTTTCCTGCTCCTCTGATGCTGCCTGGCCTGCTGCGTTCCTCCAGCTCCGCACTGTGTTATCTCTGACTCCAGCATCAGCAGTTCTTCTTATCTCTGAGTATATTCCTAGCAGTGTGTTTGCCCTTTTTATTATTCCTTTTATTTATTAGATCATAGAATCCCTACAGTGAGGAATTCAGCCCATCAAGTCAACATTTACTGTCCGAAGAACATCCCATCCAAACATCGACATCCCCCCCCTCCCACCTATCTCTGTAATCCTGCCTTACTCATGGCCAATCCACCTAGCCTGCACATCTTTGGACCGTGGGAGGAAACCGGAGCACCCGGAGGAAACCCACGCAGACACGAGGCAAACTCCACACAGACAGTCACCCGAGGTGGAATCAAATCCGAGTCCCTGGTACTGTGAGGTAGCAGTGCTAACCACTGAGTCAACCTCCCATTCAATAGATTTCTTTTTTAAGACAGTGATAAGGAGTATTTTTTTTTTGCAGAGGCTCAACAGATTGTGTAATTCTTTTCCCCTGGAGGCTGGTTCTTCACATTTATTCAAAACTGAGTCAGAAATAGTTTTGATAAACAAATAGATGGGAAGTCATTTTACTCAGAGGTTGGTGAATCTTTGAAATTTTCTCTGCCTCAGAAGGGGCTGTGGAAGTTCAGTCATTGATTATGTTTAAAGTAGACACTGTGGTTATCTGAATAACAATGGATGACAGGGTAATGGAGATTGTACAAGTGAGAGTTACTGAACTATTAGTGAGACCACACCCAGAGTATTGTGTACAGAGTTGGTCCCCTTACTTGAGGAAGGATGTAATTAAATTGGAAGCAGTTCAGAGGAGGTTTACAAGATTGATTCCAACAATGCAGGGTTTGTCTTATGAGGAGAAACCAAACAGTTTAGACCGATACTCTGGAGTTTAGAAGAATGAGTGGAGATCTCATTGAGGTATATAAGATACTAAAAGTTGATGTAGAGAGTTTACTCATGAGGGGCAATCCAGAATAAAAGATCCTGCAGGCTTAGTGTAATGGGTAGCAGCTTTAAAACAGAGATGAGGATAAATTATTTCTCTCAAACGAGTCATGGGAATTCACTACTCCAGAGTTTGGTGGTGGATGTTGGGACATTGAGTAAATTTAAGCAGAAGATAGACTGCCTTAATTATTAATGGATTGAAGGGTTGTGGAGAGCAGCCAGGGAACTGGAGTTGAGACTGAGATGAGATCAGCTGTGATTATATTGAATGGCAGAGCAGGCTCATGGGGATGAATTAGATAACACAGTGTGGAGCTGGAGGAACACAGCAGGTCAGGCAGAGAAGAACAGGGAAGCTGCCACACAGGTGGATAGAGCTGTTAAGAAGGCGTATGGTGTGTTAGCTTTCATTAATAGAGGGACTGAGTTCAAGAGCCGTGAAGTTATGCTCCAGCTATACAAAAGCATGGTTCGGCCACATCTGGAGTATTGTGTCCAGTTTTGGTCGCCTCATTACAGGAAAGATGTGGAAGCGTTGGAAAAGGTGCAGAGGAGATTTACCAGGATGTTGCCTGGAATGGAGGGAAGGTCTTACAAGGAAAGGTTGAGAGAGTTAGGGCTTTCCTCTTTAGAACGACGAAGGATGAGAGGTGAATTGATAGAGGTGTACAAAATGATCAGAGGTATAGATAGAGTAGACAGCCAGAGACTTTTTCTTAGAGTGGAGGTAGCTTTTCCGAGGGGACATAGTTTTAAAGTGAGTGGAGATAGATGTAGGGGAGACGTCAGAGGTAGGTTCTTTACTCAGAGAGTGGTCAGGGTGTGGAATGCATTGCCAGAGAGGGTAGTGGAGTCGGCCTCATTAGAGAAATTTAAGCGGCTATTAGATAGGCATATGGATGATGGTGTAAGGTAGGGGTGGAGGTTAGATAGACCTTAGGCTTCGGGTAGAAGTTCGGCACAACATCGTGGGCCGAAGGGCCTGTACTGTGCTCTACTGTTCTATGTTCTATGTTCTAAAGCTGGCGTTTTGGGTCGGGACCCTTCTTCAAAAAATTCTTCTGCCAAATTTCTATCAAATGGTGGAGCAAGCTTGACGGGCTGAATGGCCTACTCCTTTTCTTATGTTTCTGTGGAGGAGTCAAGGGTTATTGGTGGGCAGAGCAAACAGAAAAGTGGACCTGAGACCACAACCAGATGTCAGAGCAGGCTCAAAGTTCCAAATGGCTTCCTTTTGCTTCGATGTTCGATGTTCCTATTGATAGCCTGTTATTTTGCCCTACTTGCACCAAACCTCATGTAATTATGTGTACAAATCCAGCAACAAATAATCCTTTCCCAAACAGTTGTTGAGTTCGGTGAAGTACATTGCTTGGTTGTAAAGACAGAAAGTCCCTTTTACCCTAACTTTTCCCCATCAGCTTCCAATTACTTATGGAATATCTCCTGTGTACTTTCTTCTGTAACCCTGTGCAGTATCACAATGACTAAAGCACTAATTACAGATTTGTTGTGTCACTGGAGGAGGCCATTTAACCCATCGTGCCTGCACTGGCTCTTCAAATGAGCGTCAATTCCTAGAACCAATCCCTGGCCTTTTCACTCATTGCACGCTTGCCCTTTGGTCTTCATTTAAATAAGTCATAACATGACGGACATAAATGCAAATCTTTTTGACTTTGAATTAATGATGTTATGATTTCAGCAGTTAACTTTGAAAACAATTTGCTGGTCCACTTCAAAATGATTGTGTGGACAGAGTCAGAAATCCTTCTCTTGGAATTGGGTCTACATTTCTCTGTTTCTCCAGATACTGAGCATGTTTGGCATCTAGACACAGTGCTAGTGTGTGGGCATGCCAATATGAGAGCTTCCTTATCCCAGAATAAGTGTTGCATGTACATTATTGATTATATCTGAAATGAAAGAGTGTGTTTAAACTCCAGGTGAAGTGACATTATTTTAAACCTTAAATATTCCATTCTTTCTTTGTAAAATGCGGTTGTAAAGAATGTGAATTATCTCAGGAATAAGAGTTAGATCCCCCACAATAGACAGGTGATAGTTTTCTCTGTATCATGTGTGCATTTTATGTAAAAAAGTGCATGTGCATCTGTGTCCGTATAGTTATCTGTGAACTTGTGTACTGTATATGTCTTTGTATATACATAGTAAATTGCACATATAATTGCATGCTGATAATTGTCAGTGTATATGTGTTTATCTGTATATGGACTTGTGTATTTTTGTGTATATGTTTTTGTTTTCTCGGTGCGCATAAGTATTCCAAATACCCAAGTGTTTCCACTGGTTGGGGGTAGGGCAGGGTGTGGAGGGGGTTGGTGGTGGTGGAGAAGGACTCAAGAATTTTTCTGGAGTCTCCTTCTGGAATGAAATGAAGGAAAGTGCCCACACAAAAGGTGGGAACAGTGTGGAAATCTCTTCTGCAAATAGCAATTGACCCTTGATCAATTGTTAAATTTTAAAATCCATGCTAGATCCTCAACAAAGAAAAACAAAAAGTGCTGGAGAAACTCAGCAGGTCTGGCAGCATCTGGAGAGGGAAACAGAGTTAACAAATCAAGTCGAGTATGATCCTTCTTCACAACCTTCTTCAATAGCTATAGGTGTGAGGCTAGAAAAGCACAGCAGGTCAGACAGTGTCCAAGGAGCAGGCAAGTCAACTTTTGGGCTGAAACCCTTTGTCAGGACTCCTGCTGTGCTTTTCCAGCTTCACACCTATAGATTCTGGCTTCCAGCATCAGCAGTCCTTACTGTCTCCTTCTTAAATAGCTGTTATCTACAGGTATGGAGCTATACAGGACAAAGACAGGAAGAGTGGACCTATTTGGAAGGATGAGGTGGCCTGTTTCCATTCCAATATCAATCTGGACAGGACTGTCCAATCTGATACACTCCTCTCTCACCATCTTAATAAGATGTGTTGGCCCTCACTGAACAAGCAGGGTTAATGATGGATTTTGAAGGACTGAGTTAGGTGCAAGATCCAGACTATAGAGTCTATAGGATCCCTACAGTGTGGAAGCAGGCTCACACCTACCCTCCACTCAGACCCACCCCTATCACCATAACCCTGCATTTCCCACAGCTAAGCCATCTAGCATGCACATTAATTTGCATACCTTTGGACTGTGGGAGGAAACCAGAGCATCCGGAAGAAATCCGCACGGACACAGGGAGAACATGCAATCTCCACATCCAAGGCTGGGAATAAACCCAGATCTCTGGCACTGTGAGGCAGCAGAGCCAACCACTAAGTCACTGAGCCGTCCTAGAGTTATAGAGCTGTACAAACCCTTTGGTCCAGCTCATCCATGCCGACCAGATATCCTAAATTAATCTTGTCCCACTTGTCAGCATTTGGCACGTATCCTTCTAAACCCTTCCCATTCATGTCCCCATTCAGATGCTTTTTTTAAATGCTGCGATTAACAAAGAGGGCTGGAAGCAGTGGCACTGTCCTGGGAATGACTGACCTGTCGGTTTGGAATTAATTTTTGCTTTAGCTATTGATTCATGCAAGTCTTGCCAAGTAGGACAAAAGTGGAGCAGAACTTTCCTGTTGAATCTCAGAGGGAGGAAAAAGAAATGGACATGACATCCACCAACATCTTCAACACCCAAGTCCTGAAAAAAGAAATCCCTCCTCTAACACACACACACGAGAAAAGTCAGACTCAGCCTAACAGTCTTCCCCACAGCTGCAAAGCTAAGTGCAGCTCCAATAAACCACTGTGATGTTGTAATTGGGAGGGGCAGAATACTGAAGAGGGCTCTTCAACATCCAACACAGAAACAACTCAGTCCTTGTACCTTCCGGAGTGAAGGAGGCAGAGAGAGAGAGAGAGAGAGGCACGGAATCTGCTGACACACTCTCTCGGGCTGTTCAACAGTGGTCTCGTTCGGAGTTTTTGTTTCATTTTTTTTTTAAAAGAGAAGTTTGATCCTTGGATTCTCTAATCCAAGAACTCCAGGAGAAACGCCTTGAGGAGAAGATAAAGTGATCTCCCTCTCTCATCTCTCCGGGGTCTGCCTGATGGCCAGGTTTTTGGGGAGAAACTGACCAGGTCGGTTAATTACATCATACAGGTTAAACCCAGAACAATGCAAAGATAACATTGGTGAGTCCCAGATTTCACAAATCTGTCTCTTTATTTCTAGTCTGTCAAATTGTTCCAAGTTCTGACTTTCTTCTTTCTCTGTGTGTGTGTGTGTGTGTCTGTGTCTGTGTGTATGTGTCTGGGTACAGAATCAGCACTTGTCCGGGACTGAGGAACAGTAGAATGTCGCCTCCAGATTCTCCCAGTTTGAAAACAGACACGGATTAAGAGCAGGTAAGGGGACCCGTGTTAGCATGCTGTCGGTTTTGAAACTTAAAATGTGTCAGTGTTGGGCAGGTCCAACCGTCTTGGTGTTTCTGCGGGGCAGTTCTCTGCTACACGGAAAATAAAGGGAGGGTTTGTACATTTCAGTGAAGCCGAAGGTACAGCGGGGGCTTTTAAGGCTGAGAGCTATGCACTACCTGGTGGTCAACTGGACCGCCAGCCTGTATAATTCACAGCCACACTGCCCAGAGGGGGTGACTGTAAGCTTCAGTCGTTCCAGAACGAAAGCAGAAAGTGCTGGAGGAAACTTTGTGGTGTGTGTGTGTGTGTGTGTGCGAGAGAGAGAGAGAGAGACAAACAGCTTTTAATGATTGGAGTCTAATGTGACTCTTCCAATTCGGGACAAGGGGAGAAACGTGGAGTCTGGATTGGATTCAGCTCTGAAACAGGAACAGGCTGAAATCATGGGACGGAAAATATTTAAAAATAAACAAAAATTGCTGGAGAAATTCAGCAGGTCTGGCAGCATCTGTGGAGAGAGGAAAGGAGTGAAGCCAGTAGGATTCTCAGGAAAGGAAAAGCTGAGAAAATAGGTGCAGGAGTAGGCCACTCGGCCCTTTAAGTCTGCTCCTCTATTCAATATGATCATTCAATTCAGTGCCCTGTTCCTGCTGTCTCTCCATATGCTGTGATTCCTTTAGCTCTAAAAGCTATACCCAACTCCTTTTTGAAAACAGTCAATGTTTTGTTCCCAACTGCTTTTTGTGGTAGTGAACTCCACAGGCTCACTACTCTCTGGGTGAAGAAATGTCTCCTTATCCCAGTCCTCAGTGGCCTTCCCGGTATCCTTGCATTGTGCACTCTGGTTCTGGAATTCATCTTCAAACCTCAGGGCAGTGCCATTGGTGGATTTTTGGGTTGGACCGACTAGGGGGAGGCTGTGGAGGGGAGATCTCCGGAGATGAGGTCAGGGACAGTCCGAAACAATGGCTTGATGTTCAGTGCTGAGGTCATGATCCAGGAGGAGAGAGGGGTAAGTGTCTGAGAGTGTCGACAAGCTAGAGGTTTGTATGCCAGAAGACAACGTCACCCATCCTTGTCAGAAGGTTGGTGACCAAGCCATGATTGGATCTTAGAGAATGGAGTGTCACAAGTTCAGAGGCAGGTAGCGGTGAGGGGAGCAGAGTCAATGAAAAGATGAATAAAAGGTAAGTGGTCAGAGGAAGATAAATGGAGAGTATTGGAGATAGCTGTCAGGGAGAGGACTCCTACTCAGAGAACAATGGACATAGAGACAAAGGCGACTGAAGAAGAATTTAACAATGTGTTGTGCCTGAAATTCATTGAAGTGGTTATGATGTAAGTGGATAAAACGGAGTCCTTTGCTGAGCACTGATTGTTCAGCTTTGGAGATGGGCAAGGCAGAGGGTTTAGTAAATATGTGGCAAGAGGCAGGATTGAAAGAAGGGGTAGGGTCAGAGGGACCCATCGGGTGGAGCTTGCTTTCCTTAACACCTGAAAGCAAATGAAAATGTTTTGTAATAAGACATTGGATGAGACAAAGAATGAAATGGAACTTGGAATAGCGAGTGTGAGAGACATTGAGTGAGTGCATGTGGCATTGCAAGACCGAGTGTGGTTTTCCAAATGTGGTGAGAACAACAGTCTGTGTGTCTCTGAGATACCTGTAGGTCTGGGTGGATTCAAAGCTTGTTGACTGGGACCTTCAGATTGAAGTCAAAGCCAGAGGCAATCACTGAGGAAGTAGATGTAGCTGTGATAGTGAGTTTTGATAACCACCTTATCAAACATCAGAAAAGAAATGGAAGGTGAGCAAGATGAAAGAGACAAACAGAAATCCCATCAGAGAGAAGAGCAAAACTTATTTAAATTGAGGATTCCTGAAAAGCATGTGGTGGTGATTTAAACACTAAAACAAAAAGAAAAATGTTGCAGATGCTGGAAGCCTGAAATAAAATCAGAGAATGCTGGAGAAACTCAGCAGGTCTGCATCATCTGTGGAGAGAGAAAAAGGGTTAATGTCTTGAGGCCAATATGACTTCTTCAGAACCGAGCTACAGAACTTGTTATAATGCGATGTAGTTTCAACAGCTTGTGTCTTGCAGACTCATCAACTAGCTTGATTGAATTTTTTGAAGAAGTAACCAGGGTGTGTAGATGAGAGCAATGCATTTGACACAGTCAATTGGACTTCAGCAAGGCTTTTGCTAAGTTTCCGCATGGGAGACTGATAGTGAAGGTAAGAGCATATTTGGAGGAAATTTGGAGAAGTGATCCAGAACTGGATGAAGCAGAGGGTGATGGTTCAGGAATGTTTTTGTTCCTGGAATCCTGAGTCCAGTGGGGATCAGTTTTGGGGCCCTTGCTGTTTGTGGGATATATAAATGATTTAGACTTTAATGTAAGTCGATCAGTAAATTCGTGTATGATATGAAAATTGGTGGGGAGGTAAATAGTGAGGAGGATAGCCTTAGATTACAGGAGAATATAGACATGCTGGTCAGATTTGCTGATCAGTGGCAAATGGAATCCAATCCAAATACGTCTGAGGTGATACACTTGGGCAGGACAAACCAGGCGAGAGGCTACGTTATGAATGTTCAGACCCGAGGAAGCACTGAGGATCAGAAGGATTTTGGTGTGCATGTCCACCATTCTCTCAGGTAGTGAGTGAGGGAGATAAAGTGGTTAAGAAGGCATATGGGATATATTTGCCTTTATAAGATGAAGCATAGGCTTTTAAAAATTAATTCGTGGGATGTGGGCAGCATTTATTGCCCATCCCTAGTTGCCCCTTTGAGAAGGTGGTGGTGAGCTGCCTTCTTGAGCCGCTGCAGTCCTCCTGCTGTGGGTTGACCCACAATGCCATTAGGGAGGGAATTCCAGAATTTTAACCCAGCGCCAGTGAAGGAACTGCAATATATTTCCAAGTCAGGATGGTGAGTGGCTTGGAGGGGAATTTGCATGTGGCGGTGTTCCCACGTATCTGCTGCCCTTGTCCTAGATGGAAGTGTCCTGGGTGTGGTAGGTGCTGTATGAGGATCTTTGGTGAATTTCTGCAGTGCATCTTGTAGATAGTACACACTGCTGCTACTGAGCGGTGGGGGAGGGAGTGGATACTTGTGGATGTGGTGCCAATCAAGCGACTGTTTTGTCATGGATGGTGTCAAGCTTCTCGAGTGTTGTTGGGGCTGTACCCATCCAGGCAAGTGGGGTGTATTCCATCACACTCCTGACCTATGCCTTGTAGATGGTTCACAGGCTTTGGGAAGTCAGGAGGTGAGTTACTCGCCATTTCTGGCCTGCTCCTGTAGCCTCTGTGTTTATGTGGTGAGTCCAGTTGAGTTTCTGGTCAATGATAACCCACAGGATGTTGATAGTGGGGATTCAGTTGTATGTCAAGGGGCAGTGGTTAGATTGTCTCTTATTGGTGATGGTCATTGCCTGGCATTTGTATGGCACGAATGTCACTTGCCACTTGTCAGCCCAAACCTGGATATTGTCCAGATCTTGTTGCTTTTGAACATGGACTGTTTCAGTATCTATTGAGTCACGAATGATGCTGAACGTTGTGCAATCGTCGGCGAACATCCCCAATTCTGACCTTATGATGGAGGGAAGGTCATTGATGAAGCAGTTGAAGATGCTGGGCTTAGGACACTACTCTGAGGAATTCCTGCCAGAGATGTCCTGGAGCTGAGATGATTGACCTCCAACACCCATGACCATATTCCTCTGTGTCAGGTATGACTCCAACCAACGGAGAGTTTGCCCCCGTTACCCATTGATTATGGTTTTGCTGGGGCTCCTTGATGCCACAGTCAGTCAAATGCAGCCTCGACATCAAGGGCTGTCACTCTCACCTCACCTCTGGAATTCAGCTCTTTTGTCCATATTTGAACCAAGGCTGTAATGAGGTCAGGAGCTGAGTGGCCCTGGCAGAACCCAAACTGGGCGTCACTGAGCAGGTTATTGCTGAGCAGGTGCTGCTTGATAGCACTGTTAGTGACACCTTCCATCACTTTACTGATGATCAAGAGGAGACTGATGGGGCGGTAATTGGCCGGGTTGAATTTGTCCTGTTTTTTGTGTACAGGACAAATCTGGTCAATTTTCCACATTGTCGGGTAGATACCAGTGTTGTAACCATACTGGAAGAGCTTGGCTAGGGGAAAGGCAAGTTCTGGAGCACAGGTCTTCGGCATTATTGCTGGAATGTTGTCAGGGCCTGTAGCCTTTGCAGTATCCAGTGTTTCCAACCATCTCTTGATATCACATGCAGTGAATTGAATTGGCTGAAGTCTGGTCTCTGTAATGTTGGGGGCCACTGGATGAGGCAGGGAGATGATGCAGGAACTGTTAAATTATTGGTTAGGTCACAGATGGAGTGTTGCATGCAGTTCTGGAATCTATAGGAAGGATGTGATAGCACTGGAGAGGGTACAGTGGAGATTTACCAGGGTATTGCCTGGCCTGGTGAGTTTTAGTTAAGATGAGATTGGACAGACTGGAATTGTTTTTTTTCACCCGGAGGGTGGCAAGAATCTCACTGCCTGTAAGGGTAGTAGAGACGGTAACCCTCATAATATTTAACAAGGATTCAGATGTGCGTTTGCAATTCCAAGGCATATAAGGTTATGGGCCAAGTGCTAGAAATGGGATTAGAATAGTAAGATGGCTGTTTTTAACTAGCACAGACCTGATGGACTGAAAGACATTTTTCCATGCTGTAGATTTCAGCTCTATTATTGCTAATGCAGCCAGAATAGTGGGAGGAGATGACTTGAAATGAACTCTATACTGCTTCCAATAGTGCTTTCAATAACAGATTTAAAAATTAACAATTGAAATTGCTGAATTGTCATGTGTGGAGGAGAGTTCCAAATTCCTCCCACACGTTGTGTGTCAAAGTGCTTCCTGATTTCACTCCTGAAAGGTCTGGTTCCAATTTTCAGTTTGTGCCCCCTCCCCAACACCAAGAACCTCTC